CCATTCGGTAGGCTGCCATTTTGTTTTATTGACCCTATCCTTTGCCTTACAGAAGCTTCTCAGTTTCAAGAGTTCCCATTTATCAATTGTTGCTCTCAGTGTCTATGCTATTGGTGTTATATTTAGGAAGTGTCAAGAGACATCGATGTAAAGGCATATTAGAACCAAATGTTTCCATCTCCCCTCGTGTGTGTGTGTGTGTGTGTGTGTGTGTGTGTGTGTGTGTGTGTGTACATGAAATGTGTTCATGTGTACATTTAGGAGCCAGAGGTATATGTTGGGTATATTCCTCTATCACTCTCTACCTAACCTTGTTGAAGGAGGAACTTTTTTCCCCAATATATGTTTTTATTTAAATTAGAAACATGCATGCTTCACCTGTCAATCCCAGCTCCATCTCCCACCCCTCCTCCCTTGTCCCTCCACCAGCCTCCCCTCAGCTTCCCACCCAATCCCCACATCATTCCCCAGGAAGGGTGAGGCCCTCCTTGGGGGGATCTCCAGAGTCTGTCATTTCATCCAGGGAAGGACCTAGGCCCTTCCCCATGTGTCCAGGCTGAGAGAGCATCCCTCCATGTGGAATGGGCTCCCAGAATTCATTCATATGTCATGGTAAACACTGATCTACTACCCAAGGCCCCAGAGATTTCTGAGACCTGAAGAAGGAACTTTTACCAACCGGAAGGTCACCAAAGTAGTTAGACTGGCTGGCTGACAAGTCCCAGGGATCCTCCCATCTCTACTTCCCAAGCATCACCATTGAAGACACACACTTTAGCACTGGGCTTTGGGGTTAAATTCAGGTCCTCATACCTATCCAAGAAGCATTTTACCAACTGAACCATCTCCCAAGCCCCATCATAACCCCCTTTTTGAGAGATATTCTCTTTCTTCATGTGACCCTAGTCACCAGCTACATACATCCAAAATCATCCCATACCATATTATATTTTTAGAACAGCACTAGACCCTATGTGTAGTGCAAAAGTATATAAATGGAGACATCCCTATGGAAATTATAAACCATTTAAGAAATGGGTTATGAGGCTAACACTAAACAACATCATGATAACTATTAATACTAAATGTGTTAGATGCTGTATAGAACTGTTTATAAACATTGAAGAACTTTCTTTACACCTCATCATACTTTCTCAAAACAGATTCAAGTCTGGTGCTATTTTCCCTGAGTTGTAAAAGAAGAAAGTCTAGTGGCTAAGGCAGTGTAAACACTGTAAGCCAGGATAATTACAAAGCCCACCCTCTATCCACTGAACTACTTGGATTCTCACTCACAAAAGCTAAGAATGAAGGTTACATATTGACCAGAGGACATTGGATGAGGTGCCAAGAGGAAGGGAAGGCTTCAGTTTAACTTTAAAGAATTATTAGTAGTTAAGTACGTAAATAGGGGCTAGATAGTCTAAACATCAAGTTATATAAACCTGTGTGAAGGTCAGAAGGCAAGGATAACAGGCATGATCAGGGAGACAAGAACCTAGAATGTGTTGTGTGTTCCAACCTGAACACACAGCTTCAGTAAAGTGTTTTCATTTAAGATACATTCACATCAACATACAAACATGTTTTGGTCCAAATAGCACTCAAGTCAATAATGTCAACTCTAATTTGTAACAAAGGCTTGGAAGCCTGTAGAAACAGGATGTGTTTTATAATGCTATTGTAAGCATTGAGGGTAGAAGAGAGGAAGGATTTATATCACAGTCTAGATTAGCAAGCCTTATTTTATTCATAAAAACCAAAGCCCCAAAAACAATGTCTTGATTTATAACTGTTCAAATTAATACAGAAATCTGGGATCTATGTAGTAGCTGGTACTTGCTGTCACCATGCCTGTGTAGCACTGACTAATAGGATGAAATCTAAGCAGGTAAATAAATAACCAGATTTGGTCCCAGATACCAAAAAATGAGCCTCCAATCATCAGGTCAATGTCAAAGCTTTGTCATCTGCTGCCTACACCTTGGTGTACCCGCCCCACATCTACCACAACCTTTCTCACCTTTTTCCACCAATGCTACTTCCGGTGCTACTCTTTTTGAACCTGGGGAGGTATAAAGATTCTTCTGATCTGACTCAAGTGTAAGCATTCATTCCTTAGAGAAGAGCAACAACAAAAGTCCACTTGTGTTTAGGACACAGCATGCAGCAATTTTCCAAAAGAGCTAAGTTAAAAGGAAATGGAATGGCCAGTGAGGTGGCTCAGCAGGTAAAGGCTCTTGAGGCAAACCATGTCCCAGGAACCCACATGGTGAGAGGAGAGATCCAGTTCCCACACACTGTCCTCTGTCCACACACACACATGCATAATATATCCAATCTCTCCCTCCCTTCCTCTCTCCATGATTTTTTAAAAGAAACAAAGCAAAGTACAACCGGGGTCTACTATTAATCACAAAGAAATCTCTCAAACAAGGATATTAAAATATAGTCAATGTGTTCAAGCAAAATAAACCTATAGCATTTAAATTTTCTAGAGGAATATGTATATTTATAGTAAAATCTCAACGAAAGATACAAGAGAGTTCATATATACAAATATCTCATGGGAAATAAAAGAAAATTTAATGAATGAATTCATAAAAATTATTACAGTTGATGAACTGGCTAACCATAACTGAAGAGCTTGGTCGATACTAGTATTTTCTCTTTTTTTTTCCCAAAGTGGATACAGAAATGGAGTAAATTAGGAGAACACCTAAGACTAGGCAAAGGGGAATCTGTTAGCATTTGCATACGAGAAAGAAAGGGCCAATGCCTACTTGTATTTCAAAGTAAGACAAAACACATTAATTTCAATGGCCCACAGGCTGAGGCCAAGACTAGGCGTGTTTCTTTGCTCATGACAACAATGGCAGCAGTAATGCCTCCTGGCTATTGCCATGGTCAGATACTGTGAGACCACAAATGGAGGCAACCACTTGTCCTCCTGCAACTTGCACTGTGCTACAACAAAGAACAGTGAGCACCATGGGAGGTCTTGGTAGGAAGAACCCAGCTTTTATAACAAGGAAGTTGTCCTGCTGAATTAGCAATTTCCCAGAGATCTGAATCTTTCCCAGTGAGATGAAAAGGAACCAAAAAGTACTTTTCACTGAGTGCTTTACAGACTTTTTTTTTTTTGAGCTTTAAAGGAACAAAATGGAAGATAAAGACAAATCCTCCCATCCAAGCCAAAGAACAACTGATGCTCTGACCCATTAAGCCCTGCCCACCCGGGCAATGCTGACTCTAAGTCTGGAGTCAGGCTGACTTGGGCCTGAAATCCAGCTTCTTGCCTCCGCACACATCTTAGGAGGGTTACATAAGTCTTTAGTGTTCTCACCTACGAATGGTGCTAATAAAACTGATTCTACTGCACTGCCGTGACATTTAGTGACTTCCTTCAAAGATGTTTTAGTCTTCCTATGTGTCACGTTCATAGGCACTCCCCATGGCCATAGTCTCCTCTCCTCACACGGCTGTCCTCAGCATCATCCTCTCAGACTTGCAGCACTTATACTTTCTTCCAGATTTACAATTAGCTAATATAAGAATCTAATCACAGGAAATGTGCTAACGAGAAAGGATCAGGCAAGAGGGTGGTGACTATTGCCTGCCAATTCAAACACACCCCTGATGGTAAAATATGATCCAGGAAACAAAACTGGACTGAAAGCTGTAGAGTCCGGAGCGGGGATCCTTGGTGTGAATGCTGAGAAGCAGCGTCTGGGAAATAAATCACTGTGGTAGCTCTCAGTAATGCTGACACCCCTCGTTGTGTCTGCTAACACCCACTTAAATGAATAGCATGTTCTTTTCTGCATAAAGTACGTGTCAAGATAATCCATAAAACAAATATGACTCTTAGACAGATAAAGCCACGGAAAGGTTAAATATTCCGTTTTGGAGAGAAACTGTTTTACATCTATGATAGAGCAAGAAACTAGACCACAATTCAATTATCTTCTTGAGCTAATGTTTCTAAGACGTATCATATGGATTCTATGTGGTTTAACAAAAATACTGCCTTGAAAACCCACACACAAAAGGCACAAAACTTGTGAATCAGGCAACAGTGAGACAGTCGCATTCTCTGACAGACACGCTAACGTAGGGGATTCTTAAATGCCAGGTCATCCATTTCGCGGTGATTCTAGACACCAGCTATCACTAAGCATGTTCTCAGTTTTCAGGCAACCTAATTTAAAACGGCTAATGGTCTGCTCTAATCCAAATAAACCTGGCAACAAAGTAAAAGCTTGACGACCCTGACACCTAGTGGTCGTACAGAAACTGCAGCCAACTCAGCTTGAAAAGAACGGCCAGCCACTGCGGCAGTGTCTGTCTCTGCCACACACATGGAATGTGTCATTGTGAATACTGGGTGTGGACAGTACCAATTCTGAAAGCAAACTTATAAAGGCTTGATTTGTCTCTGGGATTATCTTGAGACTATCCAAGTTGGCCAAAAGGCATCCAATTGTTAAGAATATTTCCCTTTAACCTTCCACATACTGTAACAAGGTTTTACTTATCTTTAAACATTTTTTTAATGTAGAGGTCAATTTCTATTTTTGAAATTTTTAACTTTTTTCCCTCAGTCTGTATGTTCATCCACGCCCTTTTTCTGGTCTTTTGGGTGGTTTTTGATCCCCCTTGGATATACCCTGCTGAATCCAAAAGCCATGTGGCCAAGCCATCACAGGAGTTCCCTTTGTGCTGGTGAGTCGTCATTACCAAAGGGTCATTAGACCTTCACAAAGCAGCAGGAATCTTCTTTAGAAGAAATAAAAGGACATGTGCGGAAACCCCTAAAGTACCCATCTAAGAGCCAGGAGCACAATGAACACGGGATGTAGCCAGAGGGACACGGAGATCAGCACAAGCTATTTCTGCCCCAATCATTAGAAGATAAGTCTCCCCGACCTTCCTGAACCTCTGACAGCAGGAAGCTGGAATGGTTCACCTTCTCCACCAAAGGAGGGCCCGGATCCTACCTGCTGACGTTTGAAGGCTAAATAATCCAGGTTTTCCAGCTCCTTCCCAAGCTTCTGGTAGGTCTTCTGCAGGTCAGATTTGTTGGAAACATTTTTAAGAGACTCAAATGTTCTTTGGAACTGCAAATGAAAAGAAAAGCAGATTATAATAGTGACAATTTTTTCTCAAATTCCCAGGTAGCTAACAGAGTCAACAATGTACTTCTGTTTTACCCACCATGATTCAGAGACAACAAATGCTAGCTAATTATCTTTCAGTGACTGATTAGGGATGATTATGAAGAGGTAAAAATTGTATTGTGCAACCAATAGTATACGTGAATGAGAGGTCTATGTGGTCCTTATTCTAAAAAAAAAAAGCATATGCCATCCAGAATAAAAGAATTTTCATGCTTTAGGATACCCTGAAAAAAATGAGACTTAATGTGTAATTTTAAGTCTAACAAAGCAATATTATAAGGCTGGCAGGTGCTTCGGTCAGTAAAGTGCTGCTGCGCAAGCCTGAGGACCTGAGTTTGAATCCCACCATGCATGGAAAAGTCAGGTGTGGCTGTTCATGTTTGTAATTCCAACACTGAGGAAGCACAGACAGGATGGTCACCCAAGCCCAATGGCCAGCCAGCCTAGCCAATTAGCAAGCTTTGCTACCACTTTACTGAGTCCGCATCGTCCCTAATTACATTCTAAATATTTGTCCTACAGATAAGTGTAGTTCTCACCCCCTCATCAAGGAATCTTCTCTTTGCAGCAGATGGAGATGTTTACAGAAAAACCACAAATGCAAAGCTGTAATGCCCAGTCCCATGTGATGCCCAGTCCCAGCTAATACATCTACAGCATCTACCTGGGAAAAGGGTCAGGGAAAGACTTCTGAGAGACTGCCGCTCCTAGAAATGCCAGAGATGCTGCGTCCTGAAAGTCTCACTAACATGGCTGCCTAAACACAAACTGAACCAGGATGACACCAATAGACATGTTGATATGAGAGGGGGAAAACTCGGGAGGCCTCAACCCTAGACAAAGAATTACAGGCAATTAAGGAATGATGAGAGACTGGAGAGATGGCTCAGAGGTTAAGGAAATGATGTGGCATGAGAATCAGCTTGTGTCTGTAGGAGATGTGCAAAGAACCAGTGAAACTCGCTGGGTAGTGAGTTTCAGAAAGGAAGACTTCTCAGAGCTTGTATTTCAAGAAGGGAAGAGCACCACATGACTGAAGTATATGTGGCAGGTTCAGCAAACATTTGTTCATTTTTGCTCTGTAACCAATGAGTTACAAAATCATTTCTGCTGGATTGGAATGTTCCTGTCCATCCTCAAGCCAGATGCTGGATAAATAGGTGACAAGTTGCGGTAGATCACAGAGTGCTTCTCACTACTAATAAGTAAAGGGAGCTCACAAGAAAATGAATTCTTGGTTTGTTTTAGTAGATTAAAACCTACTTTGGAGGGTTAGTAACTGAAACTGTCTAGTGACATAATTCTCATTTATACTTTTTATGTCATTTATTTCCTATATTCGCATCTTATACTAATGGGGATTGCCCTTCTGTATATATATGTTTCTCTTATTGGTTGATGAATAAAACACTGGTTGGCTGATTGCTCAGGCAGGAAGTATAGGCAGGGCTAGGAGATGAGGAGAATTCTGGGAAATGTAAGCAAATGGTTTGTCATGTAGAGGCCAGAAAGGGAAGACGCACAAGGTGTTCTCAAGTAAGCCAAGACCACGTGGAAATAGATAGATTAATAGAAATGGATTAATAACTAAGACAGAGCTAGCCAGTAAGAAGCCCAAGCCACCAGCTAACAGCTTTATAATTAATATAAGTCTTGTGTATTTATTTAGGACTCTCAAGGACAGCGGGACCCTGCCAGGACAAAGAACCTCTCGTTACTTTATACCATTACATAGATTTCCACAGATAGAGACCACCATTTAAAAATACCAGAATCCCCTACTGTGATGTCATGAGACAGGCTAATAAGGTTTTATAAGATATAATTAAGTTCCCAGGGATGCAATTTGATCCTTAGTGTATCAAACCCTAAGGAGTGAGTTGTCTTAGAATGGTGTTCTACTGAATTTTGCCCTCTGTTTCATAAAGGCAACATGTTTATCTCAATCCAAAGTGAAGAGAAAACCAAAACATTCCCATTAAAGGACAGCAAATTAAATCCAACAAATACCACTTAACACCTACTCTCATCAAGGTGCTACAAATATAAAATATATCTCCTTCCCTGATGGAACTTAAAGATTACAGGGAAAAGTAGACACAAAACCCAGAAAAGGGAAGGGCAGTGACATTTATCAAGTGTGTGTTCAGTCCCAGGTATGGCCTGCCTTCCAACTGAACTCTTGCATCAATAACAGCGGCTCCTAGTCCGTTCTCAGGCTCAAGTGAGTAAAATGGGTCTCATAAAGCTTGCTGAACAGGGACTTTACCCCAGTGTCTGTGATCTTTCTATAGAAAATGGGGTGCAAGCGAGAGGTGAGAGTAGCATGCAGTGATCATGTTACAGCCACATAACACAGAAGACACGAGAAACCATGAAATTTCACAGTCCCAAGGATGAACCAACTCTGCTCATCAGTTTATCTGCTTTAATTTTTTAGTCATTTTCTGTGTGTGTGTATGTAGGCACTCATATGAAATGACACACATGTAGAAGTCAGAGGAAAACTCATGAGAGTCAGTTCTCTCCTTCAGTTATGTGGACCCAAGATGGAACTCAGGTTGTCAGGCTTGGCAGCAGGCACCTTTACGCACTAAGCCATCTCACCCACCCCCTACCCATCTATTCAAACACAGTCAAATTCTGTTCGTTTCCCCACTCTTGTATCACAAAAGCCAGTTTCTTTTCAACATAGTTTTAATAACCTTTACATTAAATATCTATTTTGTCATGTGATTCTTTTCTGTGCCTTGGACTTTTTTTTGTCCTTTCTCTGTATGTTTAAATCAAAATCACACTGGACCCAGGACTCTAAACAATGCATTTTCTCTAGGAATCAATTACTATAAGCTATTTACGCAAAGTTTTCACTACATTCTAAAATGTTCTTAATGTCCTACATTTTCTCTTCCCTAAAAAATAGTTTTTCTAATGTCATCGTGTTCTCATTTAGCTACGTGAACCTTAAGCAACTCCAGGGAACTTCAAAATAAGAAACACACAAAAACAATATTTCCAGGTAATACATTCATGGCCAAAGAAGAAAGTGAGAAAATCCAAGTAATGCCCCATCATCAAGAGAGTGCTTTAACTGAAGGTCATCGTTTGCATAATGCATAGAATTTAGCTCAAGTTTTCATCATAAGGACTCATCTCTTCCGTTATCAATATTAAAGGGCTCTGTGTCCCTTAAGACTGCCATTATTACACTCTTTTAACTAGATTGTTCCTACTTCCAAACAGTAACCACAGAAATGTATAAAATTTACAACATGGTGTTGTTTTGTTTTAGATTTCTGTTATACATTCTGCACCCTTGACAACTACCCATATGTATACTTAGGATGCTGTGTACTAAAAGCAATATTTTTGCTGTGTTGGTGAAGCTGAGGCACAGGGCATAAAGATGAACCTGGGCAAGCTCAGCTGTATTCAGAAGGACTGGATATTGACTTGGTTTGAGGACTCTTCTTTTTTTCAGGGGCTTGGCCATCAAAAGGACCTCTGAGATTGTTTACAGTAGCAGTACGCTATAGTTTTACTATATTGATTATTTCTCAAAATAAATGAATTTTTTGTTGGAAATAATCTGAGAAAGGAAGGGCAATTAAGCTGAAAAGATACTGATATTCCTGGAATTTACACGTTCAAATTTTTAAGGGGAAATTTAATCTGAGCCAAGAATCCCAAAATAATTTGTCAGCTTTCTTGTTTTAGCTCATCACAAACCAAATTCAAATCAATTGGAAATAAAAACAAATGTAGGCATTTCCTAAAACTGTGGGAATTGGATATTAAGGTGATCTCTGAGCTGAGAAACAAATCCAATTTTGTCCTATTTGACTACCTTATCGAATATCAAAGAGCATACGAGATAAGCGCACAAAGATGCAGGCAATATCCCTATAGCAGTACCCAGAGTACAAGCAGGCATTATGAACACTTCCACAGCATGCTCTTCTGTCACACTGTCTCAGTTCAGAAGTAATAACAACAGCAGTCCATCAGACAAAACAGCAGAGCCATAGCTGCTCATCTCCCATTAAAATATCTGAAAATGTGTCTCACAAGAAAAAAACGAAGCATGAGATAGGCAACCGGAAAATGTCGAGTTTGACTCAGCACTCCCTCTCTCCCAAAATGCATCTATTCTCCTTTTCCCTGACAATACACATTTAAATAAATCTAAGCCAATGTTCTGTAAAAACTACATACTCAATCAGTGTATAAAAATTATGTATATTCATAGAGAAATTTGAGAAACAGGATGAGAAGAAATTGGCTGAAGCAGCAAAGAAAAGAGCCACCACAGGACTCTGGTAAGTCCTGCTTCCCTTGGCCCTGGCTACCAACTGTCCTAGGACTGGTTGATTCAAACTACCAGGGCTTCAGCAGCCTATCACCTGTGCCCCAGGAGAAGATATCCAGTAGTGCTACCCAAGCAAAGGGAACTCAGTAGCTACCAGTTTTTTCTTATTTAATATTGTATATGTTTGTATGAAATTATAGGCACTTCTGCAGCATAAAAAGAACCCTCAAATTTCTCTCAGGAGGAAGTGGTTTCCTGGAGCAATAAGGATAAAACAGGAGGAGAGGACAAAGCAAACCTTTGTTTACTCATCTTCCAAATAAGGTCAAGAAACAAAAATGACAGGTCACCTTTTCAAAAAGAAGTGTGTATACTCAGAAGAGAACTATATGTTTTAAGTGAATTCCCTCTACATAAAAAGAAATACATGAGAGTTTGTGTACATTTGTGTTAATGTTGACTATAACACTCTTCTTGAGGAGGGCAATGAACACAGTGAGAAAAAAAATTTAAGAGTAATTTAAGTGTCTGAACTCATACCAGGGAGCTCACATCTACCTTGAACTGACCAATTACCACTAGGAAGCTCTATGGAAATACAGGTGTATCTACAAACAGAAGTATCGGGTCCTGTGGAAAGCAGGGAAATCAGCAGAGGTTCGAAGTTCTTTGTAGCCTCTGCCTTGAACTATTTATTACAATGTCAAACAAAGTAATGAAATGAAGAAAGCCTTTCTACTGAACTATGCTAAATTGATTTGCCTGGAAAGTAAAGCAGACGGGTTCCCTATTTGGGTTTTCTCTTAGATAAATGTATACTTTTACTTATATTAAATCCATTTTCATAATAGACTGCTGCAGACATCACAGACTAACTGTAAATATACATTATTTGTCCTTGATTAAATTACCAAGTACTAGAGGAGATAAAGCCCCAACTAGATATCTTTCGCCACCAAGTGAAATCCCTAGTGCCAGGAATGGATTACATATAATTGAGTTGTTGGCCAAAAGGGCTCCAGGACCCCAAACAGCTAAAGCTATTTCCAAGGTTATTGGTTGCTCTCTACAAACTAATGGTAGGCCCTATGGCTGAAGGCAACACTTATATGTCTCATACAAAAGAGAAGGTGAGCTGGTGCCTAACTAGAGCCTTCATCCCTACTGACTAATGTTAATGGCACTGGAAGGTACTCTGCACACTACCAGAGGAAAAGGTAACCACCAACCCAGCTACAAAATGTGTGATCTACAATGGCAACAAGCCTGCATGATACACTGGAGCAATAGTGCCACACTATTGTGGGAGTAACCAACCACTATCTGACCGGATTTAAAACTCACTTCATGAGATAGAACCCAGGCCTGATACTGCTCCCGTGACCCAGAACCTGAGACTACATAGGCCATGGACCTGGGGGAAAACAAATATTATTGTTCTGATAAAGGAATGTGTGAAAGAAACAACAGTCTGCTATACTCATTATCTTGCTCGGTCACCATAAAAGAACCTTCTTCATGCAGTAGAGGTGAACAAATACAGAGACCCACAGACAAGCATTAGTCAGAGAATGAGAGACCTTGGAGCACTCAGCCCTAAATGGGATCCCTTCATTAAATTTCCCCTCTCAGCTCAGGGAATTCTGTAGAAGACGGGGCAGAAAGAATTATTTTAAGAGTCAGAGGAAATAGAGAACACCAAGAAAATGCTGACACACATATGAACTTGTAGACACTTATGTGGCGGCATGGGCAGGTCCCATGTACAACAGTAGATGGCCAACACAAAATGAACTCAATGGTATTTTGTTTTTAGACTTTTTGTCTTATATTGCTTTGTTTGAGTATTTTTTATCTCACTGGTCTTTTGCTTGTATAGTATAGTTTCTAGTTTTGTGGTTTTATATATTTTGTTTTGTGTGTGTCTCTGTGTGCATGTGTGTGTCTGTGTGTGTGTGTGTTATGCTTTTTCTTTGTTATTTGTTGTTTTTGTTGTTTTTTTAATTCTTGGCTTTTAGGGGGTTTTAAGAAGGCATGGACTTGAATGGGTAGGAAGATGGGAAGAATCTGAGAGAAGGTGAGGGAGGGGAAACTGTAATTAAAATGTATGAAAAATACTGTTTTGATTAAAAATTAAAAACAGAAAAGCTGGCATGGTGAGGATATGGTTCTAACAAAGAGCATTTGCCCTGAAGATGCACGGCCACAGGTCTGACCACCTCACACCACACAAAGGAAGCAGTAGTGCCTACTCACCAATGAGGGTAAATCTCCTAACATCTTAAGCTTCACGCTAAGGTTTCTCTTCCTCAGACTATTTACACTTATACATCATGAAATTAGCTACATAACTCTGTGCTGTTACTTGTTTTAATTGATTTGGGGATCTGGGGAAGTGGCTTAGTAGGTAAAGCATTTGTTCTGCAAGTGTTGAGGACTGGAGTTCATGTCTTCAGCAGCACATAAAACCAAGTGGGCATGGGGGCTTGTGTGTAATCCCAGAGCTCCAGAGTTGGAGACAAGTGAGCTCCAGAGAAGCTGGCTAGTTAGACTAGCAAAACCACAAGCCCTGGGTCTAAGCAGAGACCCTGCTTCAGTAAATAGAGAGCAATCAAAGAAGACACCTGACATCAATAGCTGCCTCCATACTCAGTCACACAAAAACTAACATAGATACTTTGGTATAGGATGTACTAATCTCAATGCTCAAAGGTCTAGAGTTTCCTCTTTGCTATTTCCTCATGAGTAAGACGCCTGCTGTTCTCAGTTTCACAATGGCTTTAGGACTACTAAGTTCTGGCTTCAACCTTAGATGTGTACACTGGTTTTCAGAACCCTCTCTGGTCAGCTTCTGATAAAGTAAGGCAGAAAGCACCAGGATTTATGCTTGTTTCAGGATTGGAATTAAAAATAAAAGCAATGCCAAAGCAAATTAAGTCATCTTCTACTTACAGTAGACACATGCTGCAAGAGACACATGACATCAATCATGTCCGCAAGGATAAGGAGTCTTGTAACTGCTGCCAACAAGGCGCAGGCGGCCTGAACCACAGCCTCCCTTTTCGGGAGGTAACAGGGGTCATCTGTAAATCTCTCTGCTGATACCTTCAGAGCATTGCCTGAAAAACACACCCCAAATAAGTTAGCATTTAACTTTCAACAACATCTACTTCAGCATTAATCAACCAACCTAACTCCAAGAATATTCCACAAATAGCCACAATATTAAAATAAGCTCTCATATGATACTCAGAGCAACACATCTTAAAACAACACAGTTTCAAATCTGCACAGTGCTCTGGAGCTCAAAGAAGTGTGATGCCGTCATTTCCTGGAGAAAATTCTTCTGAGCTGACAAGCAGCATCAAGTAAAAACTGCTGCCTGCTTCTGCAGTTGCTCCATCTCCACGGCTGTAAATCGGTCAGGAGTAAGATTCCATTCAATCACAAATGTTCATGTTTGTAAAAGCAAAGGAAGGTTTCACTGAGTTACTTCACTGAGTTTAAAGTAGTCACAGCACACTGAGGGTGTGCCTTAGTAGGAAGAGTACTTGCCTAACACGTGTGAAGCCCTGAATTCAACCCCAAGGCACGCCAAGGCACACATGTAATAGCGTCCCTCTAGAGGGAGTGCTCCAAAGTATGTGGTCATTGTCAGGCTACACAAAATACTATAGCCTGGAATATGATAGCCTTTCTCTGATAATAGCTTAACATAGATAGATTTACTCTATGGAATGTACAAAATAAGGTGTATTCTACACTTTAGTCACAAAAATAATATTACAAGTACATAATTGTCAGAGAAACATCATCTCTGCTAACTTAAGGTCTTTTCATTTAAAAATATTTGCTTTTAAAGCCTAAAATGAAATGGCTCTCTCCATCCCCATCCCTGGTAACCAAACTCATAGAGAATGGCTACATTTGCTGTTCACGCTTCATAATATAAACTTATTTCATCATTCAAGTTATGCATGTTATTTCTTTTATATAACTCAGGAGAGTTGGTGAGATGGCTCAATGAGTAAAGGTTTTTGCCACCAAAGCTGTCAACCTAAGATCAAGCCCCATGATCTGCACAGGCGAAGAAGAGAAGTGACTCCCCAACATTTTCATCTGACCTCCACACAAATGACCTGGCATGCACACCTAATTAATCAATCAATCAATTAATTAATAAGTAAATACAATAAATCTACTTGAATAATAATAATGAAGAATACTGAAGAATATAAAATAGAAATGTTTAATTCTCTATACTAATACTTATAAACACTGTTCTAGTTTTTTTATGCATATATAGAAATTTCTCCCTGGGTCTCACCCTCCCTGGGGAATGATGTGGGGATTGGGTGGGGGGCTGGGGGACTGCTGGAGGGACAAGGGAGAAGGGGTGAGAGAGGGAACTGGGACTGACATGTGAAATATTCACGTTTCTAATTTAAATAAAAAATATATAAAAAAAGAAATTTCTCCCTGGGTCTCTGTTTCATGTGTATGTATACACACATTTATTTATAAATGTATCTTTACATATGTATACTTTGTGAATATATTCATGCACATCCACATTTAACATATATTTATATATATATATATATATACACAGAGACTTCATGTCAGAAAGACATAATCATTATACTTATTATAAATGGGAAATACGATGGCTCTCATCTCATAGAAATGCTCCACAGTTTGTTAGTTGTGCTTACCAGCTACTTTCTGTACACAATGGGACGGATGATCAAGAGTCACAGCAGTAAACAGTGCCTTCTCTATGCTTTACTTTCCTTGATTGTAAATGGAATAATTAAAAATATAAAAATAGCAATTTGTCCTTAACAAAATATGTGGTCGTGTTTTTTTTTTAGAAACCAACAAGCCAATCTTAAAATTCATGTAGAACTTTCTAAAGACTAATAATAGCCAAAACCATCTTGGACAAAAAAAGAATGTTGTTCTTGTTTCAAAACTTATTTGAAAACTATAAAAAAATAGAATTGACATTCATCCTTAGCTGGGCAATGGTGACACACACCTCAATCCTAGCACTTGGGAGGCAGAGGCAGGTGGATCTCTGAGTTCCAGGCAAGCCTGGTCTGCAAAGATTGTTCCAAGACAGCCATGGCTACACAGAGAAACCCTGTCTTGAAAAAAAACAACAACTAAAAAATCTTTAGCATCATGGTCAGCTGGTTTTCAACAAAGATTCCAAGAAAAATCATTAAGTGGCCATATGTTGTGTGTTGTTTCATTTTGTAATAGTTTTTCAATAAATGGCTCTAGGATAATTAGATAGTCATATGAGAGAAATGAACACAGTTTCTGACTCACATCACAGCAAAAGTCAACTCAGTGGGTCACAGAACCACATGCAAGGGCTTAAACTATAAAACTGAGGACAGTAAAACCTCATAATCTCAGGTTCTTTGATAAGGACTTAAATGTGGCACCAAAAGTACATGCAATAAAATGAAAGTGACTGTCAAAACCTAACATTTAAGAGCTTTATTTTTAAGGTGTATTTTTATTATTTTTAATCATGTGTTTGTATATATGTGTATACACATGAATATATATATATATATGAATATGCTTGTGAATGCAGCTGCCTAAAGAGGCCACAGGTGTTAGGTTCCCCGGAACTGGAGTTACAGGTGATTATAAGCTGCCCCAAGGGGATACTGAGAAAAAAGTGTGGTCATCTGCAAGCACAGGACATGCTCTTAACCACTGAGTCATCTCTGCAATCATAAATTTCTTGGTTTTAAATGAGAGCATCAAGAAAGTGAAAGGGGGACTGGGGATCGCTGTGTTTAGAGAGGACCCAAGTTTGGACTATCCCAGAGTCAGAGTCTTCATGGTGGCTCACAACTAGCTCTAACTCCATTTCCAGGGGATCTGACACCCTCTTCTGCCTTACTTTTCTGATCTCCAAGGGAAGCAGACACACACATGAATCAGGTAAAACACTCATACATATAAAATAAAAATAATTAAATCTTTAAAAATGAAAATGAAAAGACAACCTATAAAACAGGGGAAGATACTTTTAAACCATGTATCTAAGAAGGGACTTATATCCCATCCATCAGGAGAAAGAAGCAGTACTAATGCACTGCTATTTGCTAAGAAACTGAAAAGACAATAAAAGAATTCTAAGTAGAAGAGCAACAATTATGATGACAACTGTAGAACTTTTGACCCCAGACATCTGTACAACCTTATGCTGCTGAGGAAATACTGACTCACTAAGGGTAGGCAGCTTTGCCTGCGGCCAGACAACGAGATGACAGAATATGACTCCAGCTCAAATATGTTGAACTCCAAGGACTGTGCTCTCATTGCCACAATGTGTCCTTTTTAGATATGGTATTCAATTAACAGACCCAAGAATCAAATATGTCAACATTTCATTTTCCGACCTGCAGTTCTGACAGGGTATGGTTGTAAACAAGGGTAACTTTGCCAAGAATCTGCCACACATATCAAGACTGCTAACAAAGGTTCCAAGTCCATCTTCTCAGATGATACTTAGATAGGAAAATAAATTCAACGACCCTGACTTTTCAGTCTGTAGAAACTCCTCATAATTTGCAGGCCTCCAGTAACTAGCTCCCTGTTATGGATCTAAGGCCAGAAATCAGTGTCTACCATGTAAGTGTTATTCAGTAAATATTATAATTGAAATAAGTGAAAAAATTTAGTTTAAAGTTTATAACATAATAATGAAAAGATAAATCAATTGTTAGGTTTTTTATTTTTATCTGCATGAGTGTTTTACTTTGCATGTATGTATTGTATCATGTGCATACTTAGTGCCCATGAAGACAAAGGTGGAATCATATTCCCTAGCACTAGAGTTACAGACAGCCGAGAGCCATTATGTGGTTGCTGGCATTTGAACCCAGGTCCTCTGCAAGAACAACAAATGTTCTTAACTGCTGAGCTAGCTCTCCAGTATGGTGATATATTATTTATGACTTAATAAAGCCACTGGAGATCAAAATGCAAAGCTAGCCACAGCCATAGGGCCAGATAGTGGTGGCACATACCTTTAATCCCAGGAATCGGGAAACAGAGGCAGATGGATCTCTGTTTGTTCAAGGCCACACTAAGGTACACAAAATTAATCCAGTCTAAAAGAGAAACAGCTCACACAAAGGTGATTTCAGCACTCGGGATTACATGTCTTTAATCCCAGCACTAGGGATGTGGAGACAGGAGTGATACGGTGGGCAGAGAGAGGAATATCAAGTGAGAGGAGACAGGATCTCAGGGAATTGCAGTCTGAGGCTTGGTGGAGAGCAATGCAGTCTGCATTGTACTCTGAGGATTTGTGGAGACAGGGTCATGCAGTTCGGTCTGAGCTAGGGTCTTGGTTACTTTGCGTCTCTGATCTTCAGCTTAAACCCTAAAATTAGTCTCTGGGTTTTTATTACTCGTGTTACACTCCAACTCTAATCCAACTTTTAAATAGGCCAAAGCCCTAAATAGGCATTTTAAAGAAGAAATACAAATGGCCAACAAGCACACACAAAAAAATTTCTAGTGTTAATATAATCTAAATTATTAAAGCATAATTACATCTATATTAAGATTTTAGTAAATCCTTTTGCCAAGATTATTTTTGATTGGTTAAAAATGGGCACATATGTTTAATATTCAGGAGCAAGACATTGAAGACTGAGCAGCACAGGAAGAGAAACAAAAACGACTGTGTGTGTGTGTGAACTGGAAGCGATCACTGTACTAACTCTTATGCACAGGAAACAACTCCTAGAAGGAAGCAGCAGAAAGGCGGTGTTTACATCGTCACTAGCTTCTTTCCATGGTTAGGGACAAGGGGAAACTCAAGATTATTAAAAGGTTGATTAAAGGGTGCTGGTGGAGATCCCTAATGTGCAGTACTGCAACAGAATCCATGAAGAGGCACTGGAGAGATGACTCAGTGTGTGAGTATGCACTGCTCTTGCAGAGGACTCAGCAAGAGTTTCCCAGCACCTGCATTAGGTGACTCACAACACTGAAACCAGCTCCAGGGAATTCTCTTCTGGCCTCCACAGGCAACTTCAGTCATATAAACATGGCCTCACAAATACATAGAAATAATTTTTTAAATGTCAATAGATCTTACTTTAAAAAAAATAGTGGGGCTGGAGAAATGGCTCAGCGGTTAAGAGCACTGGCTGCTCTTCCAGAAGTCCTGAGTTCAATTCCCAGCACCCACATGGTGGCTCACAACCATTTAAGTGAGATCTGGTGCCCTCTTCTGCTATACAGGCCTACATGCAAATAGAGCACCCATATACATAAAATACATAAATAAATCTTTAAGTTAAAAATAGTAATGAATGAGCACACGCACACAGTGTGGGCAAGCAGGGAGATCCCTGGATACCCTGCAAAGATCATATTAGCCAAACTAAAAGCTTTGAGCAATTGAAATCAACTAACCCATCTCCAAGAAATTCTCCCATTATAATCCCAAAATGGCTTATTATTTTGTTCTCCACTCAAAGCATAATAGTGGAAAAACCATTGTAAAATTCAACCTCTAGATCATAGCCAGTTCACTTTCTATGAAGTCCTTAGAAACTCACAAAGTATTTTTCTGTATCAAATTTATCATGCAAAGCAAAGATAATAGGCACACTACAGGAAAAAAACAAATGAAATGTCCTGCTCCCCAAAGGAAAGCATTAAGTACACATAGAGTTCTTAAACATCAAAAGTATTCTCCATACCATGTTAATATTTTATCCTTTTTTCATGGATCCCAGACTGATATCTGGGAAACCATCATAGGACTGATCCAGGCCCCCTGAACGTAGGTGTCAGTTAGGAGGCCTGGACAATCTATGGGGCCTCTGGTAGTGGATCAGTATTTATCCCTACTATACGAATGGACTTTGGGAGCCCACTCCAAATAGAAGGATACTCTCTCAGCCTAGACACACAGGGTAGGGCCTAGGCCCTGCTCCAAATGATATGACAGACTTTGAAGATCCCCCATGGAAGGCCTCACTCTCCCTGGGGAGCAAAAAAGGGATGGAATAGAGAGTTGGTGGGGGGACAGGGGAGGAGGGGATGAAGAGGGAACTGGGATTAGCATGTAAAATAAGCTTTTTCTAATTTAAATTTAAAAGAGAAACTTAAAAAACATTTTATCCTTTTGATGTAAAGGGTTATTATGTCAAAATCAAAACTATTCCCATGAAACTTCTAGAACAATTTTTTAACTGTGGTACTGCAATAGGATCTCCTTTCTCATCCATCATGAAACTCTTGTTATCGCCACATCATCTCAGAAGTTCAACTGTCCCTAGCCAGTGGACTATCAATGGTGACCTTCACTCTCAAATGCCTCTCTCCCAAGATGGTTGAAACCAGTATTTACTGAACTGGGTAAATGTCAAACCTAATAAAAAAGAACAGGCAAAAATATTGGTCAAAAAAAGCAAGCAATGAAATTTTTCATTGAGGGTAAAGGGAATAAGAGCCCCTAATTCCTTCCTTGGGGTCACCATTATAGACTGAGCATTAGGTAAGGAGAATGAATGTTTAAATCTCCTTGAAAGTTGCTAGTGTTGCAAAGAAAAGCACAATAGAAACATAACCTATAATAATGTGCAAGCATAGAGAAAGGCTAAGAACATACAAGACTCATGTTATTATGACCCTGGAAGATTTGATTATAATCATGGCTGACTGGAAAGTCTCTTGTTGCTTTTTTATCCAGGTGATTTCAGTATAACACTTAGAACCTTTCAAATTTAGAGTAATGTTTAGAATTTTCATGTAAAATTCTGTCTCAGCCAGACAATGTGGCTGACATTGAATCCCAGGACTTGGGAGGTAGAAACAGGAACCTCAAAAACATAAGGCCAGACTCAGATATGAAGTAAGTTTGAGAGTAGTCTGAGCTTCCTGAGAAACTATTCTTAGCAGTTTATAACAAGCCTTTCTTTCTTTCTTGTTTCCTTAGTAATTATCTATTTTTCACTTTCCAGAAGTTTTTCTTGGTCTGTGACCCTAAAACTCACTAACACAGAATACTGGTACAACTTCTGATTCTGCCACTCAATCATACTTTCAAATTGAGAACTGATCTTAATGCAGAGTGTACATGTGTGAGATAAAAAAAAAACAAAAGGTACAAGAGGCGATCAGCAGTAAAGAACATGCATTGAGTTCACACAGATGTACTGATTCCAATAATCCTTTATAATTCTTTACAAAGCTTGAAGGGCATTCCTTAGATTCATATTTTCTAATGTCTGATGTGATATGTTTTAATCTTACTAGTTATAATAATAGTTGGCCTAACTAGTATTTTGAAGTCAAATCAGCCCCTCTTACTATTTCTGTTGGGATGGGTTAATAAGCTCTGATTATGGAGGAACATTGATGGGAGAAGTCCTTCTGTGTATATGTTTGTCTTATTGGTTGATAAATAAAGCACTGTTGGCCAAGAGGGAAGCAAGATAGGTGGAACTAGGAGTCGAGAAGGTCTGGGAAATGTAGTCAAGAGCAGAGAGTCACCATGTGATCCTGGGAAGAGAGGACGCATGAGGCTGGCATCCTCAGTAAGGTAAGACCTTATAGAAGTATATATGTTAGTAGTCATGGGTTAATACTTAAGACAGAACTAGCCAATGAGAAGCCCTGGACATTGGCTGACAGCATTGTAACTAATAGAGTCTCTGTGTGTCATTTGGAACTGATGTGACTCTGGGACCAGGCTGGCGGAAAGAACGCTCGTTACAGAGCATGATGGTTAAAGAGCTAAATCTAGATGTTTTACAATATTTTTACATTATAACACCAATTTAGAGAGTCTGTAGTCCAAATGTCTCTTGTTAATGTGAGAGAACTAACAGCAGCTTGAGTGTTAATAGACCAATTTCTACTACTAGAGTATCTTGGGAAAAGTACTGAAACTTTGAGAAGAAGAATGCCCTCTAGAAATTAAACTCTGTAGTCCCAGCACACACAACAGATGGTGAAGATGCATACACAAAGGAGAAAAGAATTTTGTTTTCATCTCCTACAACATGATGACCAACTATATCAAAGGTCAAATGCCTGTCCTCTTGAAGAAGCAGATCGGATCCCAGGATCCAGTCATAGCTAACCTTAACTTTCTAGTGTCTAAAAGAATTGATCCAGGTTCCAGTCATAGCTAACCTTAACTGTCCAGTGACTAAAATAATTGACATATTCAAGAAAGGCATTGCCAATCATAGGGATTTGTGAAAACATAAAATCATAAAAGTTGACAGCAATCATCCAAATATGTCCAAGAGAGTTTGAGCTTTATCTAATAGGATGTACTACTATAACTCTGCTGATAAAATTATCTCTGTAGAGATAATGGGTTATTGTCATTATTTTTAACTTTATATGATTAAGCACTTTATTTGTCCAGTTTTTTTTTCATTCTATGTCCATGATCACTAATAATGTGCTGATCTTTGTATATGATTCCTTTATTGTTCTACCTACTATGGGAACATTTTCTGGCTGGGTCACTGTCTTGTGCTCTATATAATAATTTTTCATTATAAATTAAAATGGATTCTGTGCACTTAATAAAACTTATAATTTAAAAATTAATTCTCAGTGAGAGACATGCCTGGATATGCATGCTTGTATCCAAGCCTGATGATCTGAGTTCAATTCATGATGGAAGAAGATGACTCCCATAGGTTGTCCTCTGACCAATGATAAATGTAATGAAGTGCAATAAAATTTTTAAATAGATTGTGGCTTTACATCTCAGCTTCATTATTAATTAATGTAGTTTTGGCCAATATACAAACTGGATCCTGGCCTATGAGTCCAAAAAGGATCTTAATCACAAATAGTGGAATCTGCCCTAGCTAAATTTAAAAGCAAAGGAGTAGGAACTCAAATTTTAATGCTCCTGAGGCAGAAATATGAGTCAAGATAAATATCTAACACCACCACAGTTCTGTTTTGCTGGAATCCCCACTTCTGCCATCACCTACACTCAACACCTGTGATGCAAGGAATCACACCAAAGGCCCTCTGTCAGGATTATCCTAAGAAAGTGCATCTGTCACTAGACAGCAAGAAAAGCCTCTCTCTGTATCCATCACTGTCAATCACTTCAGCCTTCTCAGTCTCGTTGGGCCACATTCTCAGCCACCAGTGAGTATAGGAAATGTTTGGGCTTTTGTTAACTTTACAACCTCTGCAGCATGGTGTCTTCCAAATATTCACACTAGAAAACAGTTGAAATTGGTCAGGTGACCCAATCCACACCACCTTGTCAGACCTCTACTGTGATATTTGGCACCTCTCTCTCTCTCTCTCTTACTCCTCTGACACTCTTAAAATTAGGATATCAAGATCTATTCTGTTTCCTCGTGTAGACTGTTATGGATATAGTGTCCATTGATAAATGCCAAAGTGCTTTTGAAAAGGTATGGAGTTGTAGGAAGGCGAGGTAGCTCTCTAGACTTACTAATTATTCCCAGCTTGTCATTCATTGAAGAGATTTTGATGTAACAATCATGAAAGGGAGAGAAGGGAAGTGCTTAGCCACTCAAAATTGCCTCTTCTCATTATGTTTGACATGGCCATTCAGAACAGTTAAGTAATTTCCCAGATACTTGAGATAATTCATCTATTTACCTATATCAAATGACTCTCAAGCTTAAGAGTAGGCATTAGGACCAGCAAGATGACTGGATGGGTAAAAACACTTGCCTCCAAGCCTGATAATCTAAGTTCAATTCCCAAGACCCACATAGTAGAAGGAGAGAATTAACTCTCACAAATTGTCCTCTGGCTTCCTCACATGGACACACACACACACAATTTTACTTTGTAGGATTTTTTTAATTTTTATTTGTGTGTATGTGTGTGTGTGCCTGCTTGTGTAAGTATACACCATGTGAGTGCATGTACCCATGGAGGCAAAAGAGGATACCTAAATCCCTGGAACTGGAGTCACAAGAACTTGTGAGTCACCCAAAAGTGAGTGCTGGGAACCAAACCAGGGTCCTCTTCCAAAACAACAAGTTCTCTTAGCCACTGAGCTCCATGTAATTATTAACCAAAAGAGTTAGCATTAATCTAGAAATACAAAGGAGGAAACCATTCACTTTTTACAGACACCTGTACAGAAGTTCTATGCCTTTCAACAATTAACCATACCCTCCCAACCTATATTTATAATAATTAGCAATCTTAGTAGTTGTCCCAATTCCTAACTTACCTAATGCGATCTATTTTTAAGATAGTTCCAACTTTGAATAAGTGAGTATTAAGCTATTTAATTTCTCATCCTCTGACCTAGGTAAACTATTTGCAATGCCTTTTAACTGTTGACTTCATCTTTGCCATAACCATTCCACCCAGTGGGTGGTCTTTCAAGGTAATACCCTGAACACTCTTATCCAACCACATCTTTCCACAGACCTCACTCAAACGAAAATACAAAGCTACAAAAAAAGAAGTAAGCCTTACAAGATTTAATATGGAGCCAAAAGATGGAAATCTGACAGGACAGTGTTGAGAGGGGAACGCTATAGCGGGGAATATGTCATGAGGAGTCTGTCTCCACGAATATAGAGGCTTTGTCCAGGAACTGCTGGGAAGGTGCAGGACAGAACTGAAAGACAGATCTGAAATCCAAGGTGAGTGGCTGCCTTCCTGTGTGTGAAACACTGTGCTCCCTGCTGCTAGGGAAGCTTATCACTTATCTCAATTCATTTGAGGGCTCTTTTCCCAACATATTTAGAAGATTATCTGAGAAGTTAAGGTGCTACTGAATGCCAAAGTAAAGTTCTTCATATCCTGAAAGAGAGCATTAATGTTCCTTATGGTAAAAAAGAGGGAAAATGCCAAGAAAAGAAAGATGTTAAATAAAGGTCGTGGTGTGCCTTTAGAGAATGGTACATGCCAATACCTATGTACTGTGTGTATCAGAAGAGGGTACCAGATCCCCTGGAACTAGAGTTATAAATGGTTGTGAGCTGTTACATGGGTCCTGGGAACTCAACAAGGATTCTCTGACAGAGCAGCCAGTGCCTTTAACTATTAGGATATCTATCTCTCTAGCCCTAAAATAACATAATTTTAAGAACTGGAAGAGAAAATGCATTTGACCTTAACCATGGAGTATTTTTCTCTTGATTATCCCAAGGTTGTAACATTTCAACTTGGAGTTGGAGACAGTTTCAATTTAGTACATTATAATGTAGCAAATAAGACATAAGAGTCATAATAACATTAATGTCATGTGCTACTTTTACTATCAACTAATGAGCAAATGACTTCATTGCTCCTGTATATCATCAGTAAAATGACAATTGCCTTGTCAAGCTAAGAACAAAGTAAGAGGGGAATGGTGGCATACAAAAGGGGAGAGGGTAGGGACAGAGTGGGTTCTATTGTTCTTGCCATATACAAATCAGTCGGAAAATTTCCTAGAAATGAAAGTGTATTCAATAGGGATAATTGTAAATCTAAAAGCAATGCATCATCAAAAAATAAAATCAAGATTGGGTGGGATATAGAAGTAGTATACATATTAACAAAATTCATATGTCATAAAAGAGTAAATATAAAATGATCTCTTTGTTGACCAGTCAAGGGTAAATGTTATTAGCAAATAATTAAAGATATGGAATAACCATAACAAGATATAAGGTGGGAAGGGCTTCTTCTGAGAGGAGACTAGAGGCAATGAAGGTTCCCCTCATGATGCTAGAATGAAAGTAGCAAGTGCAGGAAATGTTGCCTTCCATCATAGGTTGTTCTACAATAATGACATGCATGTTTTACTCTAAGGTATTTATAGATCAGAATCTAGTTCAACATCTCCTGAAACAATTAACATTTTCATTCTGACCATTACCGTAGTCTGTGCTTTCTTATACTTGTATATCTAAAGATTCCATGATACCTTCAACTCATTTATCCCTATAATTACTCTCATTGAATACGCTAAAATTGATTTCTATTACTTTAATCTCATAAAGAGAAAGGATCAGAACTTTTGCTTTTTGATGAAATCAGAGTACAATAAACATTTAGTTAGGCTAGTATATTAAACATCCAGGAAAGAGAAAGTTGAAGGAGGGAGGGAGGGAGGGAAGAAAGGAGGGAAGGAGGGAGGGAGGGAGAAAATGGTAGAGGCAGAGGAAAAAACCTGACATTAGAATTTCTTATCTAACACATGACCTTCTTTAATTCATAATATAATATAATATTCCCCTTTGTCTTTTTTGCCCTTAGATGTTTTGGCCTGGCTTTTAGGAGTCCTGAAATATTTATTCTCAGACTCTGCATCCACTGTGGTATATAAGATAGGAAAGGTGAGCCCATTCTGTCTCATAGTCTGATCTCATAGCTCTGGAATGTTGTCTTTCCCATTTACCTGCAGTCTTATCATCTCCCGTTCCTTGGGAAAGACTTACACTGTTCTTTTTCTGTCCAAATTGCATGCATACAAAGTGGGGGAAAGAGAAAAGATCTTTATCTCTGGCTCTGAGGATTATGTTTTATTGAATCTTTTCCATTTCCTTGACTCCTAGTAAACTGACTATACCTCAATTTATCACTGCCTGTGCATTACCAGCTCCCAAGCCTGAAAGCATCGTAGCTCTGAACAATAAAATTCTCCTTGGGATACATAATACATAAAGCTCTCCAAAGAAATCAAAACTATTGATGGTTGTCTACCATGTAGTTAATTCAGAAACAAGCATTAAAACAGATAAACAGAATGATGTTGTCCCACAAATACAGACTCCTAACTAATAACAGAACGTAGGAAATCAATAGAGCTTGGTAACTTCTCTCCATTGAGACCTTATTAACTATATTGTAGTCCTCAGTCGAATTCAATATAGCACATGATCTAATTTATGAAAGAATCCAAAGGATTCAAAACTGTATTTTACCTAGAAATTATGCTTCCAGGTGAAGCAGAGGCTACCAGTGTTAGTAGTCAATGACTAAGAACTCTAGAACATCAAAGGCTGCCTTCCTGTCTCTAAAGGAGACAGCTCTGGCTCCATACATCTGCCTACTCTCCTCTGGGGTCAGGCATAGTTAGTAATTAGCATAGCATTATTCAGTAAGAGTGTTAATGCAAGATATATATATATGTATATATATATATATGTAATTGACCGGCACATGTATAAGTGTTAGTGCTTACAAAAAGCAAATTAAGGAGCCATGGTTGTGGCATAAGCCTATAATCCCAGCACTCAGAAACTGAGGTAGAAGGATTATCAGCATAAGCTCATGGACTATCTGCACTACTTAGAAAGATTCTGCCTCAAAATAAAAATAAATGGTAAAAAATGAATCATTAATGTGGCAAGCAGCAGTTAATGCAGAGACTCACAATTAGCCAAAGTATGGAGGATAAGTACTTGTGGAATGCTCAGCCCTAAACCGGATAACTATATTCTCCATCCATCAAAATTTCAAGAAGTGGTAAGAAAAAAACGCAAGAGCTAGCAGTTAGGAAAAAGTGTTAAGAAACGGTGTCTTCTTGATATGGCATAGCTGTTGCACACATGGATTCACTGAGGCTGTACTGGTTACTTTTAACTGTCAGCTTGACCCAGCCTAGAATTACCTAGGAGAGGAGTTTCAATTGAGGAACAAAGTTTTAACTCTTGTGGTGCATATCAAACATTCCCAAGAAGGAGGCACTATGGAATTGAAATTGCAAAATTACCAAAGTACTGATGAAGAAAACTTAGCAGAATTTGGCAGTAGAGCTTTCTGTTGTCAACATTGTAGTTATAATTAAATCCATGGGAATTAAAAGGCTCCTCAAGGAAATGAGGAGACAGAGCAATCCTAAAACTAATTCTTAAGGAAAAAAATACAAGGAAATGATAGGGAGAAGTCAATGAGGAAAGTGAGGAGGAGGTAGAAACATAATGTGTAATGTCCTAGAGAGAAGGTAGGAAAAGTTTCAACATGGTAAACAAATACAGCAGAAAAGTAGAAGATAATTTCATGTGTGTAAAAGTTATTATATTAAATAATAAATCATCCATGCACCAGAACAGACAAGGTCAAATGGAAATATGAGTTTAAGAGGAGAACAGGAAAACAGAAAGTAGAATTTTTTAGTGAGTACTTGCCAATTATCAGGTAGAGACAAGCTAATACATGTAAAGAAAGAACCAGTGAAAGAGAAGAGGAATGAACACATAGAAAACTACCACTGTAGAGTAAGTCTTTTCAGGGAAGGGAGAAGGCTAGGATCCAAATGAATTTCAAAAATAAATTTTAAAATAACTATTTTCTTTGAAACCGAAGAAATGGGGATAGTCAATAACAGATATTCTTGAGACTTTTATTCCTAGTTATGCTGGTTAGTTATAACTGTTAACTTGACACAACCTAGAATTATCTGGGAAGACAATCTTTTTTTTCTTCCTTTCTTTTATTTAAGTTATAAACAAGCTTGCTTCACATGTCAATCCCAGTTCCCTCTCCCTCCCCTCCTCCCCACCAGGCCCCCCAGTCCCCCACCCAATCTCCACTCCCTCACCCAAGGGAGGGTGAGGCCCTCCATGGGGGATCTCCAGAGTTTGTCATTTCATCCAGGGCAGGGCTAGGCCCTCCCCCAAGAATCCAGGCTGAGAGAGCATCCCTCTTTGTGGGATGGGTAGCCAAAGTCCATTTGTATACCAGGGATAAATACTACCCAAGGCCCCGTAGATTATCTAGGCCTCCTCACTGACACCCACATTCAGAGTGTCTGTATCAGTCCCATGCTGTCAACCCAGCCATCAGTCTGAGGTCCAAGAGCTCCCCTGTGTGCAGGTCAACTGTTTCTGTGGGTTAAACCAGCCCAGTCTTAACCCCTTTGCTTGTCAGTTCTCCCATTTTGTCACTGGATTCCAGGAGTTCAGTTCAGTGTTTAGCTGTAGATGTCTGCCTCAGTTGGGAAGACAATCTGAATGAGGAATTATCTAGAGCAAGTTGGCCTATGGACATGCATGTGAGGAATTGTCTTGGTTATTGATTGACAATAACTGTGAGTGGCACTATTACCTAAACTGGGCCCTGAACTACATAAGAGAGAAGAAAGCAAGTAATCAGCAACCCATTGTTTATCTTCTCTGCTCATGGATGCAATATATTAAGTTCCTACCATGACCTCCCCACAATAATGGACCATAACCTAGAATCATAAATCAAATAAGCCCTCTCTTCCCTAAGTTGTTTTCTCAGCATATTTGTCACAGCTACAGGGATGAAAGTAGAACACTGTGGTGGTTTAAATCAGAATGGCCCCAGTAGGCTTATATATTTGAATGCTTAGTCACCAGAGAGTGGAAGGAAATATTTGATAGGATTAGAAAGATTGGAAGGTGTAGCTTTATCAGAGTAGGTTATAGCCTTAATTGGAAAAGTTTTCTCTCCTCTCTCCCTCTCCCTCTCCCTCTCCCTCTCTCTCTCTCTCTCCCCCTCCTCACAGATCAGTTCTCAGCCACTTCACCATGCCTGCCTGCTGCCATGCTCCTTCCATGCCTCTATGCTCCCTGCTGTGATGATAATGGACTAAGCCTCAGAATTCTAAACGAGCCCCAAACTAAAGGCTTTCTTTTATAAGAGTTGCCTTGGTCATGGTGTCTCTTCACAGCAATAGAACAGGGACTGACTAAGACAAACAATGAATATACAATAGCCCATAATATTCAGGCCTATACTGTATAGGTATTAGCTTAGCTCACTTTCAGCATCATACCAACATCTATGAAATGACTAGAGAGTGGTAGCTCCCCTCTAACCACAAAGGAGAACACAGTCATAGTTGGTGCATGAATCACACTTTGAAGACTCTTTATGAGCTGAGTTCTCAGGCCACATCTTCATTTCCAGGACTCACCACTTGCAAATCAGTCCATTAACATGCATCAGATCTATGACTTACACATCAGAGTAATGGTGGATAGCCTACAGAATCTCTCATACTTTCAAAATTAGCAGTACTATTATTCCTCAAATCAGTACATCTATCTGTCATAGGCCCGGCATCTCAAGTGACTATCACATGCCAGCACACCTCATAACGAGTGACACAGAAAAGTCTGCTGAGAAGCCAAATGCACTATGATAAAGCCTACTGTAACTTTTTAAAGTGGATGCTAAGGGATACTAGTTCAATGTTTTTCCAACAGCTAGTGGTTCACAAACAGTGTAGCTAATTAGCTCATCATCTTCAATAGAACTGTTTGCATAAACATTCTGTCAGCTATAGAACACCACGTGTGTATGTTAAAATATGTTCCAAGAGTAGCTTGTCTTTCCCCTCAAGTGAAGAGTTTTCCTGAATCTTAGGCTTTAGTGGGAAGACTGTTATGTTTGTGATTTAACGATTACCTTAGAATACTGGAGATGTAGCAACAGTCAAATATCAACACATCAATAGATGAAAATAATGTGGGCAACAGCTGTTGTCTTTGAACCCAGGCATATGCTGTGAGTAACTGGTGGCAAATACCAAACATTTTATCAAACCCCTAACTGTAACACTGTTGGGCAGAGTAGATGAAGCTGACCTTACTCAGGAACAGTTAATTAAAACCAAGCTATTACCTTCCTTTACAGATGAATATTTAATAAAGTTGAATTTCAAACTTCTTTAATATAGGTGATATGGAATAGATACCAGTGACTTTTTAATCTCAGGTTCATTAAGACACTATTGAGATGCTGGAGAGATGACTCAGTGGTTAAGAGCACTAGCTGCTCTTCCAGAGGACCTAGGGGTTTGATGTCCAGCACTGACATGGTGGTTCACAACTATAATCCAGTCCCAGAAGTTCCAATGCCCTCTTCTGGCTTTCACGGATGCTAGGCATGCATTTGGCTTATACCTATGCAAGCAAGCAAAACACTCAAACACAAAGGCAAAATAATAATAATAACAATAACAATAATACTAATGAAATTTTAAACATGTACTGGATAACTGAAAGGCAATAGGAACATTTTATTAGATCTACTATGCTGAGCAGTGTAGTACACACCTTTAATCCCAGCACTCAGGGGAGGCAGAGGCTGGTGGATCTCTGTGGATTTGAGGCTGGCCTGCTTTACATAGAAAGTTCCAGGACAACCAGGTATATACAGAGAAAGCTTGTCTCAAAAAAGGAGGAAGTGGAGGAGGGGGAGGAGAAGGAAGAGGAAGAGGAGGGGGGAAAAGGAGGAGGAGAAAGAGAGAGAAGAAGGGGGAGGAGAAGGAGGAGGAGATTCACACTGGAAACTTTACAATGATATTTTCAGGTAAAGCATGTATCCCATACACTGATGAAAAGAAAAGACTAATTGCACCTTCAGGGTACCATTCTCCTATTTCTAGAAGTCATCATTTTATCTCACCACTATGAATGATGGCAACTCTAGATTCCTAATCCCTAGTGGTAAATAAATCTATAGACATGAGGTTTTAGAAACCATGGAGATAGGAAATTAAGGAAATATGGAAAGATGAATAGAAAATAAC